TCATTCAAAACCTATAAAACAAAACGAAAAAACCGAAATGAAGAAGAATTTAAATAGTGAGAGAGAAAATAGGTGAAATTTTCTTAGTTTAGTTTTTTTTTCTCGCTGAATAACTGACATTTCATTTCGGTGAAATCAAATTAAACAACAAAAAAACATGAAAATTTTGTTTAAAATCTTCTTAATTTTAGGCAGATGAAGGTAGAGAGAATGCCAAAAAAAGTCATTTGTAATCATGTGTCATCCTTACACGAACAAAGCAAACAAGCAAGGTATATCTAATTTAGACATTTTTTCGAGAGTAAGACAGAGATAGATCTATGTTTGACCGGTCACTTGAAAATAAATGTCGACACACACATTCACTTACTTAGGTCAAAAGGCATTTGTTTTTCTCAGGAAAAACAAAAATTGTTTCAAACTTCAAAGTTGATCAACAAAAATATTTCAAACCAAACGAATAAATAATGAGCATTTTTGGATTTTAGTTTGAAAAAAAACACCATCCACCAACCAACCAACTTAGCAACTAACCACCACCCCTCTTTATTGAATTGGAAATGAATTTTTTGCTGCTGCTGCAGAATCCCAATTAATAAATAGTGGATATAGTTTGTGTGTGTGTGTGAGATAGACCTCAAGGCCAATAATAGCCAAAAATAAGCGAACAGAAAAAAATTGCCTTCAAACATATATATAGTCTGTGATAATGATGATGATGATGAGTTTATTCATCCATGACATTTATATTATTTTGAGTGGATAGTGTTGTTTGCTTGCATGATGATGATCAAACAAACAATGAAAATGACAAGCAAAAAAATGATTTCCAAATGGATATCGTATAATTATTGTTTGGTTACATAATAATATTACTAAGAAGAATAATAATAATGATAGGATAGGATTCTTTCAAAATCTTTCAAAAGTTTCTGTAGAATTTTTTTTTTCATTGAAAGAGCCTATAGGCTTTTAGTTAAATATGTTAATTTTCGTTTTTTGTATTTTCTTAAATCCTTTTGATTCTGTTGTTGTTGTTGTTGTTGTTGGCGTGTTTTCTTGAGATATTTCATCAATGATAATGGATGATAATTATTAATATTGATGAGTTCAATGAATTCGAAAGCACTTTTGATTTGCTTTTGAAGACAAACCTTTAGATGTTGTTTTTTTGCCCACTTAAGATCTTCGTGATCATCATCCATTCGTTTCTTTCTTTACAATCCAAGATTGATTGATTGATTGGTAAAGAAGTTTGAAAAAGGTTTTTTTTTGAAAAAAATCCATTATTAAATTATGGATTTTTGAATTAATCAAAATTCAGTTGTTGTTGTTTCGGTTAGTTTGAATCAAATCCAAAGAGAAGCTATAATAAAAACAACAAACATTCAGGTAGCTAAAACTATCGATTATAATCTACATATAATTTTTTGTAGCTACAAATTAGAAAAACAAAATTTGATCAAGGTAAACACATATAGGATGATTTGTTGTTTTCATTTCTCGCCAACTGTGTTTTTAATTGGATGATATTTTTTTGGGGCATTTTGTAAATCTTAAAGATTGGAAAATCTAATTTTTTAATTTTAATCAAAATTTTTTGTAAATTTTTTTTGAAAAAAAAAGTTGTAAACAGCAAAAGTCAAATGCTACGCCCTTACCTACCCTCTCATCTCTCTCTAGCTTTACCTGATTTTTTTTTCAGTTAGATTTTCGATTTTCTACAGATAATCTCTGTATTTGATGATTAAAATCAACCAGAAAAAAAAGTTTTTTGATCTTTCTGAGATACTCTCTACTGCCTATATCATCATCATCATTTGGAGAAAAAAAAGAATGTTTAGTTTTTTTTTCTTTTCAGTCTTGATGTTTTGTACATTGAAATTGATTGAGAATATAAAAAAAAGTGTGAATGACAGGTAAAAATTGCAATAAATTATCCACGATGTTGATGATGATGATCGAAGAAGAAATACGAGAAAAGAAGAAACATTTTTTGGTAGAAATAGAAGAAAAAAAAGGCAAAGTCCATCCGAATCAAAATATCTTGATGATAATGATGATGATCATTTCTTTTCTTTCTCGTTGATTTTTGGTTGCTGAATGTCTACTCAATATTCTTGTTGTTGTTGTTGT